GTCCCCTTAGCTCTCTCCCCAGAGCCACAAACCCAGTGTCTCCTGAGATGACTTCAGTTTGCTCTGCCCTTCCTCTGCTGGAGCCCAGGATGAGTGGCTGCAAAGGAGATTTTGTGTGTTGGCCCTTTAGGAGGGCACCTGTTTCCCTAGCAGACTCCTGTCTCTTCCTAGCATAAGAATTCCCCCTCATTTTCTCTGCCAGATGTTATGTGGGCACCTCTTCCCTGCTCTGGTGCTCTGGGCTGGAGGGCCTGGCATGGGGTTGAGACCTTACAGTTCTCAGGGGGAACCTTTGCACCTGAGACATCCCTCCGAATCTCAGCCGTTGAGTGAGGCCAGCCCTTTTTGCATCTCTGCCTTTCCTGCCAGTCTCAATATGGCTTCTTCTGTAAATCCTAGCTTATATGACTTCTACTCAACTAGTCTTCAGTTCATTATTCAGGTTTCTTGTTCTGTATTTTAGTTGTAATTCCAATTTCGTCCTGGAAGGAGGCGAGTGTAACATCCACCTAGTCCCTTCCATCTTGGATCCTTCCAACCTGGCAAACGGGCCTGTTGCAGCACTCTTTTATGAGTGGCTAAAACACTACATGTGGAAGAACCTTGAACAGTAATGAAGTGCTACAACAGAAGCTATTAATACTAGGGACCCCATGAGTCTTCATTGCCACATGTTAATACCCTGGCCCTCTTTTTTTCTTTTCACCAATGACTTAGCTACTGCTTATGTGCTGGTGACTCTCAGATCTTAATTTTCAGCTCAGGTCTTACTCCTGGACTTGAAGTAGGCAGTTCAATCCTTGACAGCCTTAATTGGATTGTCCCCAAACTCGACAAGTACAAGATGAAGTCAACATTGTCTTCTACAAAAATCACTTACTGATGAATATCCTGCAGCACCCTACATCCAGTCAGCCCCCAAGTCCAACTGCTTCTACTTTATTATTATTATTTTTTTATCCTCACCCGGGGACTTTTTTTTTTTTTTTTTTTTTTGATATTTTGTTCAGATAGAGTGGGAGGGAGAGAGAGAGAGAGAAAGAGAGAAACATCGACGTGAAAGGGACACATCAAGTGGTTGCCACCACACGACCCAACCAGGGCCGGAACAAATTGCAACCGAGGTACGTGCCCTTAGCGGGAATCGAACCTGGATCTCTCCAGACTGCAGGCCAGTGCTCTAACCGCTGAGCCAAACTGGCCAGGGCTGCTGCTACTCTTTAAGTGCTCTAATATATGTCCTCTTTCTTTAGGGCCTCATCCTTTCTTGTCTGGTTTACTGCTTACATCATTACCCTGGTTACTTCAGGGTAACGAGGCTTCTTGCAGGTGTAGGGGCAGAAAAATAATTTTCTTCCCACCTTTCTAACATCTTCAGGCCGGACAAATAATCAGATTAACAAGAGAAAATGACCAAATTTATTATGTATGTACATATGGGGCTTCCATAAGAATATGAGACCTGAAGGCACATTGGGCAGTTGAGCCTTATATGCCATTCTGGACAAAGGAGAGGGATCCCTGGTAGGGGTCTGGGACTTAAGAGAGAAAACAGGCAATTCACAGATCGATGAGGAAGAGCAAACATGGTAATTAAACAAATAGACTTGCTTGGATCTTCCCTATCTGCCACACTTAATTCATAGATGCTAGGTGAACATGCTAAGGGTTCCTTCTTGAAGCAGGTTTTGCTATCTGTATCTCTTGAGACAGGTAAAGGGGGCGGCTCAGTTTCTTCCTGGGTCTTTTGTTTCTTTTTTGTTGTTGTTAATCCTTAGCTAAGGATATTTTTTCCATTGATTTTTAATTTTTTATTTTTTGTAGAGACAGTGGAAGGGAGGGATGGAGGGGTAGAGAGAGAAAAACAACTATGTGAGAGAGAGACATCGATAGGTTGCCTTCCACATGCACCCCAACCAGGCCGGGAATCGAACTTGCAACCCTGTAGTCTGTGCGCTGACACTCTAACCACTGAGCCAAACCAGTTAGGCCTGAGTCTTTTGTTTCTTAAAAATAACCAGCTTAAAATAATCAATATCCCAAAAGGCATATTTGGAGGGGGGGGGCAAACTCTAGTCCCCCTCACAGACTTCATCCAAACAAAGTTACGATTTTATGACTGGCAGCCCTCAGAGTAAAATCCAGACTCTTCAGCATGGCATAGAAAGCCTTAGGTGGCCTCCTGCCTGCTTCTTTGTCCAACTCGATTCTCATTGTTCCCACCTTTTCTCCTCCCTGCTTGCTCTTTCCTCCCTGTGATCGTGTGCTGCTCCCCCTGCTAGGAACATGCTACCTCTCCCTCTCCCTGTTTCCTATGGTAAGTGCCTCCTCATCCTGCATTTCTGACACCAGCATCTCTGGGAAGCTTTCTCTAACATCGCCTAGGCCATATAAGCTACGGGGCTGAGGGCTGCCTGAGAAACACACCCATTCTAGTTGAGATTGTAGCCCAGGAAGGTAACTGGATTCAGTTCTTTAGAGGGAGTTGGGGTGGGATAGGAAGTAGCATGGTAATACCATTCCCTTTCTTGTTTCTTTAGGGAAGTAATATATGCTGGAGCTGTAGAATTAAGGCTTTGTAGTTGCTTCTCATTATCTCACTAGTACATTGTAAAGACGTTTCAGTGTCAGCCCTGGACGGTTTGGCTCAGCGGTTAGAATGTTGGCCTGTGGACTGAAGGGTCATGCTTTGGATTCCTGGTCAAGGGCACGTACCTGGATTGCAGGTTCGATGCCTGGCCTAGGTCAGGGTCGTGCAGGACGCAACCAATTGATGTGTCTCTTTTACATTGATGTTTCTCTCTGTCTCCCTCTCCTTCCCTTCCACTCTATCTAAAAAAAAATCAATGGAAAAATATCCTCAGGTGAGGATTAACAACAACAACAACAAAAAAGATATTTTGGTGTTAGCCCAGCTTCTTTGCTGCCATTTCTGCACAAGGGCCTCTGTGCAGATGTAATCAGATAACTTCCTGACAGTGGACAGGTAAGAGGTAAGTGACTGTAGAGAGGGATTTTTGATGTATCACAAACAATGAGCACCACTTTTAGAGATGGTGTGGGGCTTGGCCTTGGGTAGATGCCAAGTATAAAATGCGATTCCTTGTCTGATTTTATTTAGTGCTCAAAGAGTAAACCAGCACAGATCATAGTGGAGATTTGGTAAATGCTACAATTTATTAATATCTATTTTAATCTTAAAAAAAGAGAAACTTTTTTAGGTTTACGGAATAATATTTAAGACTAATATTTAAAAGTGTCCTGGCCGGTTTGGCTCAGCGGTTAGAGCGTCGGCCTGCGGTCCGGAGAGACCCGGGTTTGGTTCCCGCTAAGGGCACGTACTTCAGTTGCAGTTTGTCCCCGGCCCTGGTTGGTCGTGCGGGTGGCAGCCACTCGATGTGTCCCTTCACATCGATGTTTCTCTCTCTCTCTCCCTTCCTCTCTCTCCCTCCAACTCTATCTGTACAAAAAATGAAAAAATATCCTCGGGTGAGGATAAAAAAAAAAAAAAAAAATTTTTTTTAAAGTAATTTTTACCTGTCAAAATGTGGTCAGCTGCATCCAACACGGAATAAGATTATGCTGTTTTCAAAATAGCCCAGCCACTGAACTGATTGAGGCCCTTTGTGGCGTACCTTGCTTTCCTGTTTTTGAGATGAACATTGCTTCTCTCTCCCAACTCTCCCAGTGTCTGTTTCTGCATAGTGTTGAGAGCTTGGGGGACAGGATGACATAGGAGAAGAAAACAGGACCCTGTATGATGGGCAGTGTGGTGTGTGTGGCCCTGTTGGGCTTTGTGTGTGGGGTGAATGCAGTTGCCCATTTCAGCAAGGTCATGCATTTTTTTCTCTAATACACTGACCTCTACTGGCTTAACTATGACTCTTAATCACTGTTGTTTTTTTCTTAAAATTTTTTTCAAGGAAAAAGATTTTCACTCACTATTAAAAGCTTTTTATTTTGCTTTTTAAATATAATTTTCAGAAAAATTAACACTTTAGGGTTTGTATAGTGGAATTTACATTTCTAGGAAATTCCTAGCTATCCCAGTTGTACATTTCACCTCTGGGGTGCAATACCTTATTATTATTATTTTTTAAAAATTGCCATTATATCTCTAAAGTCATAGGAACAGATATTTTTGTATAAATTTTTTATAGATCATAAAATTTATTAATTATCCTTAATACATGTTGGTGTAAGGAAGGTAGTATATTTACTTATTTCATTTTTAAAAAGAGATTCCTTTTTCCTTTAAAAAAAATGATGTTAGAGAGAGGAGAGAGAGAGAGAGGGAGAAAAAGAGAAAGAAAGAGAAACATTAATGTGAGAGAAGAAACATTCATTGGTTGGCTCCCAAACGTGCCCTGACTGGAAATCCAACCCCACCACCTGTTGATGTACTAGACAATGCTACAACCAACTGAGCCACACTGGCCTAGATGGAAGGTAGAATATTTAGTGAAAAGAGCACAGAATTTAAACTATAACTAGTGAGCAGCACTAGTTAGAGCAAATCACTTAAGCTCTCTGAAACTTAGATTTTTCATCTCTGAAAGATGATTTCTGTTTCATAGGGCTAGTTTAAGGATGAAATGTACATGCAAAGTGTTTTTGGGGCTGTTATTTCTGAGAAATATTTGGTAGTATTAAAATAAAAAACAGTATCCTGCCACTCTGTTGACCTGTATGACTATTTTTAAAAATCTTAAAACAACCCTGGCCAGGTGACTGAATTAGTTAGAGAGTCATCCTGTACACCAAAAGGTGGCATGTTCGATTCCCGGTCAGGGCACATACCTAGATTGTGGGTTCTATGTGCGGTGGGGGGGCATATGGAGGTAGTGAGGGTGTACGGAGGCAACTGAATGATGTTTCTTACATCAATGTTTCTCTCTCTCTAAAAAATAAATAAATAAATAGAAACATATCCTTGGGTGAGGATTAAAAAAATAATCTTAAAACAAACTTGTACTAGCTATATTGACTTGTACTTTCAAAAAAAAATGGAACACTTTACGAATTTGTGTGTCATCCTTGTGCAAGGGCCATGCTAATCTTCTGTGTGTTCCAATTTTAGTGTATGTGCCGCTGAAGGGAATACGACAGTTACTAGTATATATTTTAGTAACATATATATATATATATCTCATAAATTTACAACTATAGATCATTTGAGTGGCAATTACATGTAAGGCTATGTGTATATAGGTTGTTACACAGTTGTTACACTACTGTGATGTTAGCTGAATCCTACTCATAGTCTTTCAGATGCAGAAATGATAAGGTGATGTATATCATATGTATCATGCATGTCAGGGATATCATGCATCACATGTCATATATACACACACACACATACATACATATATCACCTTGTAATTTAACTGCTACAAAGGAGGAAGAGGACAATGAATTTGGTTTAGGCAACCAGCAGCCTCTGCTACCTTGGACTGCCACCTACTATTTTATTCATCCAACAAATATTTTTCATATATTTTCCATATTTCATGCACTCTGCCAGGCTCTAGGTAGACAATGGTGAACAAGAAAAGAATGTTGTTTATTCTCATGCTTATTTTTTAGAAGGAAAATTAGATAATGCACACATTTACTTGCCTGTAGATCACATAACAGATGTGGCCAGTGCAACGAAGGAAATAAATGAAATAGATAATGCCATTCCTCCAGAGTCAGTACTTCCTGAACCTTATGCCCTTCCCCACATGCATTAGATACCTTTCCTATGTGGCCTTACATAGATATAACATAGCTCCCAGCTCTTATCTCTCATTGTTTTAATGATATGTTTACTTATCTGTCCACATGAAACTTCTGCACAATGCCTGGCACATAGCAGATGCTTCAGTACATGTTAAGGAAATGCATAAAGGAATGGATAATTTACAGGACACCTTTATAGATTGGGTGTAAAATTCCTTTCATCAAGAGTTAATTAAAGTGATCAATATGTTGGTAATGCAAGAAAGGTTTTGGATCTTGAATTCTCCCATGCTATGGTTGATTAATGCATTTTTTTCTTTTCTTTTTTTTTTTATCCTCACCCAAGGACATTTTTCCATTTATTGTTCAGATAGAGTGGGAGGGGGAGAGAGAGAGAGAAACATCGATGTGAAAGGGACACATCGAGTGGTTGCCACCCCCACGACCCTACCAAGGCAGGGGACAAACTGCGACCGAGGTATGTGCCCTTAGCGGGAACCGAACCCGGTTCTCTCTGGACTGCAAGCCGATGCTCTAACCGCTAAGCCAGTTGGCCAGGACTGAGTAATGCATTTTTAAACACTAGTGATAATAATGACAATGATATTTGTTGGTAATTATTGAGTGCTTGCTATGGGCCAGGCACTGCGTTAAGAACATTACTCTTGACTCACTCAAAGATACCTCCAATACAAATGTTCAAAATTGAACTAATGAATCTCACCCATAATCTGGTCTTTTTCCAGTGTTTATCATCACAGTGAATAACAATATCATCCATGTATTTGGAAAAACCCAAAACCTAAGGAAAGCCATTTTTTTTCCTTCATCTTCTCTATCAGTTAACATGTATTCAGATTCTGATAACAAAATCCACTTAACAGTGGCTTAAGGTAAAAAGAGATGAAACCATCTCACAAACAGGGCTAAAGTTAGTGTAAAGGTTGGTGGATCAGTGTTGTTACTGAGGCCAGGCTCTTTCTGGCTTTCATCTCTGCCGTCTTCAGTGTATTGGCTTTTGTTAAACTTTTTGTCTCATGATTGAAAATGATTGCCTCAACTCTAGGCAAAGCCTGTGTTGATTCTTCGTCTTTTACAATTTTTATTGTGCTGAAATTTACAATAACATACAATTAACCACTTTAAAGTGTATAGTTTATTTTGGTGTTTAGTGCATGCATTCATAGTGTTGTGCAACCACCAGCTCTCTAGTTTGAAAACTTTTTCATCACCCCAGAAGATCACTCCATTACCCATTATGTAATCACTCCCTAGCCACCCATACCCTCATCCCTTGGCAACCTCTAAATTGCTCTCTGTCCCTATGGATTTGTCTATTTAGGACATTTCATATTAAAGGAATCATACAATATGTGATATTTCGGTGGCAGGTGGGGGGGGGTCTGACTTTTTTTTTTTGCATAATGTTTTTGAGGTTCATCCAAATTTAGCATATACCAATACTTCATTCTTTTGAATGGTCATTTTATATATATATATATATATATATATATATATATATATATATGATGATTTATTTATTCATTCATCTGCTGATAGGCATTTGGGTTGTTTCTACCTTTTGGCTATTGTGAATTGTGTTGCTATGAACATATATAATCCTGTATAACTTATCTGTTTGAATACCTGTTTTCAATTCTTTTGGGTATATATCTAGGAATGGAATTGGTGGGTTATGTGGTATTCTGTTTTAACTTTTTGAGGAACTGCCAAACCATTTGACATTCCTATCAGCAATGTATGAGGGTTCCTATTTGTCTACAGCCTCTATAACACTTGTTATTTTCCATTTTTACAAATTATTAGTTTAACCCTGGCTGGGTGGCTCAATTGGTTAGAGTATCATTCCACATACCAAAAAAAAAGGTTGTAAGTTTGATTCCTAGGCAGGGCACTTACCTAGGTTGTAGGTTCCATCTCCTATCTGGAGCGTGCCAGAAGCAACAGATCAATGTTTCTCTCTCTCCCTCTCCCCCACCTGCTCTCCCTCTCTCTCCACCAACCTCTCCCTAATAATTAGTAAAAATATATTATTAGGTGAGGATTTTTAAAAATTATTAATTTAGCCTTTCCAGTGAGTGTGAAATGGTATCTCATTGTGGTTTTGATTGGCATTTCCATTTGTGTGTGTGTGTGTGTGTGTGTGTGTGTGTGTGTCCATGTTTTTCTTTATTGATTTTATAGAGAGAGGAAGAGAGAGGGGAGAGAGACAGAAACATCCATGAGAGAAAACATTGATTTGATCCACAACCTGAGTATGTGCCCTGACTGGGAATTGAACCGGCAACCTTTTGGTGCATGGTTTGATGCTCAATCAGTGAGCCACAATGGCCAGACAATTGGCATTTCCTTATTGACAATTGATGTGGAACATCTTTAAATGGGCTTGTTGGCCATTGGTTTATCTTTGGAGAAATTTTCACTCAGGATCTTTCCCACCCTTTAATTGGGTTATTTGTCTTTTTTGTTGAGTTGCAGTAGTTGCTTATATGGTATGGGCAGTAAACCCTGTCAGATATATGATTTGCAAGCATTGCTCCTATTCTTTAGGTTGTCCTCTCACTCACTTGATGATGTTCCTTTTGCACAAAAGTTTTAAATTTTTATGAATTCGTTCTTTTCTTTGGTGCTTGGGCTTTGGTGTCATATCCATTGCTGAATCTAATCTCTTGAAGATTTATCCCTATGTTCTGCTGATAGTTTTATAGTTTTCACTGTAATATTTAGGTCATTGATCCATCCTGAGTTACTTTTTATATATGGAGGGAGGTTGGAGTCCAACTTCATTCCTCTGTATGTGATTATTCAGTCATCCAAACACCATTTATTGGAAGACACTGTTTCTTTTCTATTAAAGTGTCCTGGAACCCTTGTCAAAAATTTATTGGCCATAGATGTTTGGGCCTGTCCCTGGGCTTTCAACTTTGTTGATCCACATGTCTATTCTTATACTCATACTACAGTATTGTTAATACTGTTGCATTGTAATAAGTTTTGAAATAAGGAAGTGGGAGTCCTCCAACTTTGTTTTTCTTTTCTAATATTATTGTGGCTATTTGGGGTCCTTTGAAATTCCATGTGAATCTGAAGAATATTTTTATTTCTGTAACAAAGGTCATTGGAATCTTGATTGGGATTATGATGAATCTATAGGATTGCTCTGGAGTATTGTCATCTTAATATTAAGCCTTCTAATCTATGATCATGAGATGTCTTTTCACTTAATTTCTTTCAACACTGTTTTGTAGTTAACAATGTACAAGTTTTATACTTTCTTGGTTAAATTTGTTGCTTAGTGTTTTATTCTTTTTGCTATTATAAGTAGAATTGTTATCTTAATTCCACTTTCACATTGTTCACTGCTCGTGTATAGAAACACATCTGACTTCTGAGTGTTGATCTTGTAACTTGCAATTTTGTTTAATTTGTTTATTAGCTTTAGTAATGTTTTTCTGCGTTCTTAGGCATTTTCTTTCTTTTTTTTTTAGACGATGTTTATTTCCTTTATTTATTTGTCTTTTATTAAAATTTTTTTTCTATATTGATTTTTAATTTTTTGAAGAACATCTTTATTGTTGAATGTATTATAGATGTTTCTCATTTTTCCCCCATTGACCCCCTCCTCCCCACTCCCACCCCACTCCTACCTTTTCCCACACTATTGTCTGTGTCCATTGGTTATGCATATAAGTTCTTTGGTTTATTTCTTCCCACCCCCCCAACCCCCTTCCCTTTGAGGTTTGTCAGTCTAGCAATGGATTTGTACTTCTTAATCTCTTCACCTTTTACACCCATTCCCCCAACCCCCCTCCCATCTGGCAACCAACAAAATGTTCTCTGTACTATGAGAATGTTTTTGTTCTTCCTGTTCATTTTGTTTGTAGATTCAACTGTCGATAGATATGTATTCATTGCCATTTTGTTCATATATTTTATCTTTTTCTTCAAAAAGACCCTTCAACATTTCATATAATAACGGTTTGGTGGTGATGAACTCTTTTAATTTTTTCTTGTCTGGGAAACTCTTTATATGACCATTGATTCTAAATGACAGCTTTGCAGGATAGAGTAATCTTGGTTGTAGGTTCTTGCTTTTCATCACTCTGAATATTTCTTGCCACTCCCTTCTGGCCTGCAAAGTTTCTTTTGAGAAATTAGCTGACAGTCTTATGGGAACTCCCGTGTAGGTAACTAACTGCTTTTCTCTTGCTGCTTTTAAGATTCTCTCTTTGTCTTGAACCTTTTCATTTTGATGATGATGTGTCTTGGTGTGTGCCTCTTGGGGTTCATCTTGTTTGGGACTCTCTGTGCTTCCTGGACTTGTATGTCTGTTTCCTTCACCAAGTTAGGGAATTTT